CTTAGGCCGCTACATATGGAACCCAGCCCTCTACCGGTTCTCACGGATTCAGCGAGTGTGGGCCTGGCGCCGGACGCTCCGTTACGTCTGGCTGCCAAGGGGACGGAGGAGCTCGACAGGGCCTACAGTACGGACACTCTGGAGCAGTTTTAGCAAGCCGACACTAACTGGGGCCTCTCAGTGCCTCTACCCATTTGAGGTGAAAAGACAGGAGGATGCCAGCTCCACACGAAGGCTATATAATATAGCAAACGTGTTGGGGGTCGCCCAGCCCGCAGCTCTACAAATATCTGTCAGCGAAGTGCCACGAGCCAGCGCCCAGGAGGATGCAACACTCCTAGTAGAGTGAGCTCGCAACCTGAGCGGGCAGGGCACACCCTGTGCCTGATAAGCCAGGGTGAGGGCACCCACAATCCAGTGGGCCATCCTCTGCTTAGAGACGGCCTTCCCCTTCTGCCGGCCTCCATAACAGACAAAGAGCTGGTCTGAGGACCTAAAGCTTTGTGTCCGGTCTATGTAGCATCTCAAGGCTCAGACGGGACAGAGCAAAGCTAGGGCTGGGTCTGCCTCCACCGGTTTCTGGCAGTAAAAGGTGCCTTCCATGACCTGGTGAGCTCCTCATGCACCTCCGGGAAGAAAGGCACTGAGGCGGGGCGCTGAGAACCAGCACCAGCCACCCCGAGAAACCAATCATCCAACCTCGAGGGCCCGGGACGTGGTGGAGGTTTCCACTCGAGCCCTACCCTCTCGGTGGCCCAGGAAAGCATAGCCGACATTTCTGGATCCGATTTAGGCCTTGCTACCGTCCCAGAGGGCGGCAGCACAGCCAAATCTTCTTCTCCAGAGCGCTCTTACTCCGATGCAGTGATTGACATCTGGTTTTTGGGAAGAGCACTGAAGGATACTGCTCTTTAAAGAGGGCCCAGCATGTTCCTTTGATGGCTCAACTGGTTGCGAAGCGCTAGAGGCGCGATGGTTGGGTTGGTTCTTTGAGAGGTTTGCCACCACTGTAACCCTCAGACCTCCTGTGCTACTGCATTGGGAAGAGCACCGAAGGATACTGCTCTTTAAAGAGGGCCCAGCATGTTCCTTTGATGGCTCAACTGGTTGCGAAGCGCTAGAGGCGCGATGGTCCCCCGAGGGTTGGTTCTTTGAGAGGTTTGCCACCACTGTAACCCTCAGACCTCCTGTGCTACTGCCTGAAGTATTCCACACCTGGCTGCCGCCAGGACGAACACTAGATCGTGGCAGGAAATGAAGCCTGGCCCACAGCTCCGAGATAGTCATTTTCCCACAATGGTAACATGACTCATCCACAAATGCCACCTCAGCATGTTTAATGCCCAGACATGTGAGGCAGCGATCGTGACCATCACCCGGCGCCAGGTAATGACTACATCCAGAAACGCATGGGTGAAATGGCATCTTTAAAAAGACGCACTCGCTTACTGTTCTCTTTTAGAGAAATTGTTCTTTCAGAAAAATGCTCTTTTAGTGCTGATGCGCACAGGGGAAATGGCCACTTGCAGCACAACATGGGGTAGTGCAGCCTGAAGTGCACAACCCACTCGACACAGGAACGACCACCGCTGAAGCACCGTCCACCAACACCAGAAGCTTCCAAGAGCACGTTGAACTCGTAGCTCACTGAAGACACTTGGATGTAGCAGAATGATGTTGTCTCTCGGCTCCAAAGCAAAAAGCTAGTATGCATTGCACCGATGCAATAATTGCATGCCAAGGTGCATTGGCTCATTTAGTTACACTCGAAGTATTGGTCTCTCGAAGCGAGATCCCCAATTTCTTGGTCACAACGTGACTCATAGTTACCGACTGAAAGGGAACTGTCAAGTTGTTACTGAATGATAGTACCACCACTGACTCTCTGGAAGGCTACAATATTATTTGACTTTATTAACCACTATAAGTCCAAAAATTAAAGTATATGCTACAGTATAAAGTATAAAGATTTTCTGTATACTTTATTTTTTTGGATTCCAAATAACTTATATCCTACAGTGATAAACTTACAGGCTGCAATGATAAATGATATTGATAATAGCAACATAATTATTTATCAGTACAGTTTAAAACAACCATGTTGACTAGAAATGTACAATAGTAGTTAAATCAATTTGCCTCTATGCTCTATTTCCCAATAGACAACCATGTTTAAAAATGCACTGGTTAATGTATTTGTTTTAAAGGGGTCATCAATTGAGAAATCAAATTTTTCTTGATCTTTTGACATATAAGATGGTACTTTCTCATCTACCTTTTTCCTATGCCCCATGACGCTTTGCGCGAATGGGAATAACTTACGTCAAATGTTCTGGTTACTAATGTGACCACTGTTCCCTGAGATAACGGGAACGAGCATTGCATATAGACCAGGGGTAGGCAACCTATGGCACACGTCAACATTGACATGCAGAGGGATCATCACTGGCACGCGAACAATAGGGAAATAGTCTGTGAAACGAGACACTGTGTCCCCTTGCCATGCTTCAGGCACGTCTCCTTCAGACAAAGAAGCTAATGACGTGGTCTGCAGGTGCCCTTTTATACTCGTGGTCGCACCAGCAGCACGTCATAGGCCAATGTCAAGTTCATTGTCGTGTTTCCACATGCACTTCAGACACCAGTAACACTGAGGGCGTTCCCCAAAGTGTCCTCTAGGGGACACAGTGTCTCACTCCCCTTCTCAGGGAATCATGGTTACATGGGTAACCTGAGAAATTTCCTATCGAATGGGAACAACACTGAGGGCGTTCCCCAAAGTGTCCTCTAGGGGACACAGTGTCTCACTCCCCTTCTCAGGGAACCATGGTTACATGGGTAACCTGAGAAATTTCCTATCGAATGGGAACTCGAACTGCGTCCCCTAGAGGACTTTGGGGAACGAATACCCACGCCGCCATGCTGAAGGGATGAGTGCCTTATCGGCAGCCAAACGCCAAAAAAGACTCGAAGGAATCCTCATCCCCAGGAACACACCAGCAACTGCCATAACAATGTAAGGGTCATAATTGGAGTGGGACAACAGTCACATAATCACCCACATCACATACTTCTCACAGCTCTAAACGCAATATGGAGGTTGGGGGACCTCCGTGCCTTATTGCACAACATGTTAAGAAGTGGGAACGCGAGAAGCAATACTGCCCATCTTCTTAAACCGTCATAATATTGTGAGGATCACAGCCGAAGAAGTGAGACACGAGCCACGGAATAGCCCACCATCTTCGCATACATCTCACAGCTGTACGCGCAATACTGAGGAAAAACATCCCTGTGTATCACACAACAATTATATGAAGTGGGAACGTGAGAAGCGATACTACCCATCTTTTTAAACCGTCATAATTTTGTGAGGATCACAGCCGAAGAAGTGGGATGCGAGCCACGGAATAGCCCACCCTCTTCACGTACATCTCAGTTTTAAGCACAACACAGAGGGGAAACCGCTCTGTCCTGTTGCGCAAGGGATTAAGAAGTGGGAGTGTAAGCTGCAATACTGCCCATCTTCTCAATACTTATCCATAACACTGTGCGGATCACAGTTGATGAGGTGGGAGGCGAGTCGCGGAATAGCGCACCCTCCTCACATACATCTCACAGGTCTAAGCGCAAAACGAAGAGACCCCCTCCTTCTTATTGCACAAAATATTATGAGAAGTGGGATCGTGAGAGGCGAAACTGCCTGCCTTCTAAAAACATTATACAAATGAATCACACTGTGAGGATTACAGCTGAAGAAGTGGGACACAAGTTGCGGAATAGCCCATCTTCTTAACACATCTCACAGTCTTATGCACAATACAGAGGGAAAAACCACCCTGTCCCCTTTACACAACATA